TGAATGTTATTTGTGCATCGTGTTATTTAGTCTATTGTCTTTTAGATTTTTTGTCATTTTTTTGTTACTGTTCTGTTTTCAATGTGTTGCGTGAGTTAGGGCTGCGATTATGGCAAAAATCATAATCTCGATTATTTGGGTCAATAATTGATATCACGATTATTAAAAACGATTATCCATTTACTTTGAAAACATCAATTTATTTGCGAAAAAAATGTGAACAGTATGTTTTTAACAGTTGATTACCCTGAACTTTAAGTCTAATTCAACTGAAAAACCATAAAAAAAAAGTAATAATAATTAAAAAATTACATTGTTTTCGTAATCGAAATTGCGATTAAAATACGATTAATTGAGCAGCCCTAGCGTGAGTTTTGTTTTGGGACTCTCTTGAACAAGACTGTGATATTACTCCTTGTTTGACTAAACAACAACATCTGAGCACTTGATAAAACTTGATAAAAGATAAGAAGCAGACCTTCATGGAGCCGTTCATCTGGAAGACGAAGAGCAGGCGAGGAGGGCATGGCCGACAGTTCAGCTTCCACTCTTTGGACACCGGGCAGTCCTTGATGGCAGCCCGGATCAGAGGCAGCACCTTCTGTCTCAGAGCATCCAGGGCCCGGAAGAGACGGTCATAAGTTACATCAAAAGTCTGGTTCGGGTGCACCAGCAGGAGCACGTGACACACGGAGAAGATGTAGAGTAAATGCAGGCAGTGCTGTCGGTCCAGGTCTTTCCACAGCTCGTGGGAGTCGGAGTGTCCGGTACCGGCGCTCAGAGACTCGCAGGCCCGCAATAGCTGCCGGCTGTCGGACACGGAGGACAGCAACAGGTACAAAACCCGGTTCTCCTGGTGGTAGAAAGCCTCGATGCTGCTGTCCGCCGTACCGCCATCTTCCGGTCCTCCGAACAGCGAGAAGATGTGTTTGTCCGCGAGACTGTTGACGATAGATTCTTTAGGCGCGCCCGGTTGCATGTTGCTTTTACCGAAAATACCGACAACACACAAGCCTTCGTCCCGGTAAGCGACATCCTCCTGGAGGTCCGCCTGAAGCAGAGCCTCCATACTCAGAGGGAGAGCCATGTTTGTTCCCTTCATGGTGGAAAGCGGGGGAAGAAAAACAAAGACGCACTTATTTCCGGTTCCCTTAACTAAAGTTTCCGAGCAGACACTATTTTCGGTTCCTTTTTTTAATAACAATTAACTTTATGTTTCTAAGCCCTAGTGATTTAAGATAAGTCCATATTGACACAACATCGTATACACTACATTTTAAACAATAATCCGTTTTTCAGCATTATTAATATTATGTATATAACTAGACCAGTCCATGTATATTTCTTCATATGCATATTTTTACATATTTATTCTTGTTATATATTGTAGTTCAATGTGCACATGTTTTACTTGAACTTCTTTATTTATTATAAATATTTTACATTTATTTATGTTTTATTCAGAAATGGAGCGACTGTAACCAAATACATTTTCCCTGGTGAAAAGTATATATATATATATTGTGATTCAGAAAAACAGGTAAAGAATGACATGCTTGATAATAAAAATAAAACCAAATACGTTTTAGAATGTGTTTTAAACGTATTGAACATCTCTGTTAATACATAAGAAATTAAAACATTTAATTAAATAGAATACAAAGAATGCACAACAGGCAATGGGTAATGAAACCCACTGAATAGTTGTGCTATAGCTAAAGTTATATATTAAAATGTCTTGTTTCTTCTCCAAAAAAACAACCCTATAGATCTCAAGTTACACTGAAATAAAACAGCAGAACATCATCACATTAAAGAAGCTGGTACTTAAGGCTCAAAACATTTGTTCAGCCCTACTATACAAACATATTGCACAGTGTTGGTTTAATTGGCAAAAACATTTTGAGTGGACAGCAACTTTAAGTGTGTAAATGAATGAAATAAATGTCTTAGAGGGAAGGCGTGTGGCGTAGTGGGTTAGTGCGTTGGTGTTCGGATCAAAACATTTGAATACATGTTTGTTGTTAACGTTATTACCCAGGATGTAATGTTTGTTAAAATTCCACTTATACTTTCTAAAAAAATTACATTATCAAAGTACATATTTGATATTATAAAAAAGTACTACAGTAGGCTACTTTAGTATCATAGTTGCAGTCTTTTATTTATTGTGGGATTCTATTGATATACATCTTACATTAAGATTTCCTGTTATAAAATGTATCTACTTTTGTTCATGAGATTTTTTCTAGGATGATGAAAAATGGATTGACAATATAATACTGTCTTAGTTTGACATCATACATATGACCAAACACACCCCCATGTCTATAAAAAGCTCTCAGACGTCAGAGGCAGCGCTGCGTGCGCGTTCACGACTCTCTGACGTCACATTCTTGTGATCATCCGAAATCCCTGATAACGCGATGCGCGTTCCCGCTTGGTTCTGAATGGGGGGTTCAGTCCAGATACTGACAGTCCAGTCCAGTCTAGTAGCACGACCGGAGAAAGTGCACTCATCCCGGCAGGTCTGCTGCTCTCACACGCGCACCGGTACTCCACGCGCCCCCGGTAGTTCACACTCATTCAGGTAGTCTGCGCGTGCACGACTCAGTGTACCGACTCCTCTTCTTTTTCTTCTCCTTCTTCTTCTTCTCAGCCCAGAGAAGTTAGTGCACTGACGGGAGGAGTTGTCGCTGTCTGTCCAGGAATGAGAGATGATGGCCGGTTCTATAGCAGAGGAGAAAACCTTCCGACGGTTCCTGGAGCTCTTCCTGCGGGAGATGAGGATGCCTCTGCAGGAGAGCGACCCTCCGCCGCTGCGCCCCTTGTGGGACTTGATGACTGAGGACGAAGTGGAGGGGGAATGCCTCGACATGTGTCTCCAGCACCTCTACAAATAGTTGAGTAACCACTTTTACTCTAATTGCATGTTGTTATCTAGCGATTGTAAACGTTTAAGTATAAAATGAAGTGACTGTCGCAGCTTTAATGTTCGTGTTTCGGACCGGGCGCTGTTGACCCTGGTCCCAGTCCACATCAGATAAGCCCAGCAGGATGAGAGACACCTGCTTCCTGCTGGGTGTGTCCAACAACACCAAGTTTCAACAAAGTGCGTTTACTGAAACATAATGGGGAATTAAAGAAAAAGCAGAAGTGAACAGATCTACACACGACCAGGGTATTCGCCTGTAATATATCTCGTATATTCCCTTCTTTATTTTTGTTATAATGCCCCCAATGTACGCCAGTGGTGACGGTACCGGAGGTCCACAAAAAGGTGAACCCCTGCTTTTGCGTAACAGCCCGACGTCATGATGGTGTAGGAGGGGGAGGAAGCCATCGCCATCACTGCTGAGCGCATCTTCATGCAGGCTAAAAATAACCGGTTACGTTATTAGCCTCAATCGTTCGTTTATAATCCGAGACATTGACTAAAATGTGGCGTAGTGAAATGCAGAATATCTGGAAATATATCATGAGAGATTCAGTGTCTAAATGTCATTGATGCATTGTAACCTAATTCATACAGATTATTTAAAGGACTGCTATGCATGATTTCAATTAATTCGATCTAGAGTTGAAAAGAAGGGAATGACTTCTCAGAGGCGGTGGAAAAAGCTCTGCCCTGAGCTCTGCTGCCTGGCCTGGTTTTGAATCAAAAATAGGTGCAGAAACTGTGCTGGAAAGAAAAGGGTGGAAGGACTCATCTAGGGCACTGAGTGGCAAGGGGGGCTGCTGCTCGCATGTAGGAACAAAAAATGATTTTCACCGGCTGACGTTGCACGCAGAAGATTCAAAAGGCTCATATGTTCATCTCCTAAGGTCAGGAGAGGGGGAGCATATGTTGGAGGCAGGATGGATCAGTAGAGCCATCAGGTGTTTCCAAGATAGAAAGCAGACCTGTTGTAGCAGCAATATAATCAGTGTTAATTCACCACACATTCATAATGTTACAATGTGATTGGCTGGTGGATATAAGGTCATTGAGCATTCAACATCTTTCACACTTTACCCTCCCCCTCCATATTCTGCACTAACACGCGCATGACTATTCAATGTAGGAGACAAACGGTGGAAAAATGACAGATTTTTTGTTTTCTGTATTGAAGAATGTGTGTTACACTAAAAGGTTTCTGTTTAATGTGTCCACAAAGGCACATTCGTATGGTTGAGACGACTACTCTTGGCTTTATGTTTGAATAGTCTTTCATGCTTTTATTCATTGTGTGGATATGGACTAAATGAAAGATTGAAATTGAATTAGTTAATTCTTCTTTTTTTTTGGACCAACACTATTTCAACAATCCATTTGGTGTCAGAATAACAATGTTTTATATTTGTTTTCATTGCCATTTATGAAGGAAATCACAACTGATGTTTAAGATGTAGTAGGAGATGGGGGGTGTTTCTCAATGTCGAGGAAGGCTCCTCCAGAGACAATATTTCAAGGATGCTACGTGATTGAGTCCCGCCGAAGGACTGTTCCAATGTCCAGGATCCTTGGAATTCGTTGCGGGAAATTTCGAGGCTGCACATGTGTATTCTCCGCAGTCTTAAAATCCCCACAATGCTTTGCGCACGGACCAATTTCCAAATCTTTGGCGGAAAATGTAAGGCGGGGCCTCTCATATAACGTACACCTGCACACCTGTTAGCCTGTTCCATTCTTTGTTTTCCGAGGCTAGGAAGGATTCTTGCCTCGCTTCTGAAGGACCTGACTCGGAAGAGATGTCCTACCAAGGAAGCATACTCGACATTGAGAAACACCCAGAGTCAGGCGATGGTTAGCTTAGCTTAGCATTAAGCCATTGGGGGAAACACTCGGGCTGTTCCTCAATCTCGAGGATGCTGGCTTGGTAGTCGCGTACTTCCAAGTCACTTCCTTCAGAAACGAAGCAAGTATGCTTCCAAGCCACGGCTTCGGAAAACGAAGAAGAATGGGACAGGCTAACAAGTGTGCCACTCTCTCTAACTGTTTCAACATAAACTGTACCGAAAATAAATACCTCACGATGTCTATCTAATTATGAACTTGCTTTACTTTCACGGAAC